GGAAAAGAAAATGGAAAATGAAATGGAAACTGGGGATAATGGAAAATAAAATGGAAACTACTATAATGGAGAATCAAATGGAAAAGAAAATGGAAAATGAAATGGAAACTGGGATTATATTGGGGTTATATATGGGTTATATAGGGACAATGGAAAAGAAAATGGAAACCCTAGGTCCTTTTAAAGGGATATGCAGGGTTATATATGGGTTATATAGGGATAATGGAAAAGAAAATGGAAAGTACTACGATGGGTTATATAGGGGATTATAAGGTATATATTGGGGTTATATATGGGTTTTATAGGGATAATGGAAAGAAAACGGAAACTACTGTATTATAATAGGGTATATATTGGTGTTATATAGGGAGAATGGAAAAGGAAATGGAAACTACTATAGTATAGGGTTCAGGGTTTAGGGGTTAGGGTTGAGGAATGTTACCCCTGGTACTGGAGAATCAAATGGAAAAGAAGATGGACAATGAGATAGAACTTGGGATTATGTAGGGGTTTATAAGGATTATAGGCCATAGGCTAAACTCCTTAAAGGGGGTTATATAGGGACTAAATATAGGGTTTAGGGTTTAGGCTTTAGGGGTTATGCAGGGGCTTATATTGGGGAATATTATATTATAGGGGTTATTAAGGGGGATACTTGAAGTTAAAACTACAGCTCACGTTGCTTCATCGTTGTTTGATCTTGCAATTGCACGCACTGTTCTTTCAACACGTAGGTGGCTCAATTAATCAACGGCTGTTTACCATGACTTACTGGTGCTTAGTAGGGAATGTAGGAAATTCTTGTATATTCATAGGGTTTAGGGTTTAGGGTAGGGAATATGGGAATGTATTATATTCCCTCATTTCCTACTAATAAACAGTAAGCTCAAGGCCAGCAACTTGTTTCAGTGCTCTTGGAAGGCATCGCCCGTGTCGCCCTATGTGGTCAAGGCACGCATTAGCAGGAAGATATCCGGATCCTGTGAACCAACATTCTGGCTTCAAATAAGCTATCGTCCAAACCCCTTTAAAGGGGGTTGTATAGGGGATTACAATGGATTACATAAGGGAGTATTATAGGGATCATTAAGGGGGATACTAGACGTTTAGACTATAGCTCACATCACTATTCACAAAACCCCGGGCGGGGCTTTCTTGCAGCTGCCTCTCCCTTTATAGGTACTACCATTCTCTCAGCTCATAAATACTCCTTTCGAATCCTCACCATACAGCAGAGAACGGGTTTCACAGAATGCAAGCAAGGGCCTCAGCCCTACATGATAGTGTTCATACATAGGTGAACCCCAATATCGACTCATTATTGGGGACCGCAAAAATGCTATCCCTAGTTTTGGGAAACCCCCAGATTTTGAGCAGGGCAGACGCGGATGTGAGTTGCCGTGCAGGCTGCGCCGCGGGAGACGACTCCCGAGGATCAGAAGTGGTTCGAGGATCTTCTTCATAGAGCAACATATAGGGGGCCTTGTTACTGTGTAGGGGGCTAAACACTGACATTTGGGCGGTCTGCAGAAAATGATTGCATTCATTTTTTCGCACATTCCTCTTTTCCGCCGTCTGTTGCCAGCAGGACTCCGACAGTGAAGATCTGCATTTCTCGCCACGGGAGAGCAGCAGCTCGGCAACGTCACAACTTCTTCGACGTGTGCATAGATATCGTATTCGCGCTTCCATTAAAACATTTGCAATGGTGACGATGCTAGGTGTCTCTGCTCCCGAACGAGAGGAGGCTGCCGGACGTGCACAGCCCCCAACCGTCGTAGATCTTCAAAAGCCTGATGCCGCAGTACTTACTCGCACTGCTTCAGCTTCATATTTGGGTAAAGGTGGCCAAGGTTCCTTGATATGTCGAGGCCTACATGAAGTGGGTGTTATCAAAGAAGCTGGTGGGATTCTATCATAGACCTAATAGACCGCGTAGCCCTGAAGGTTTCTTACATCCCAGGTCCACAGAAGCCGCAACTTTCAGCAAATGTTCTACGCAGCTACAGTCCGCATTCTGCTGTTTTCTGAGGCCAAAGAGGTGGAGAACCTCCACCACCACTTTGCCCAATACCAAAAAGGGTCCGCGGCTTACACTACATCTCTGCGCCGCTCCCTGACATACGAGAAGCAGAACACACCGCGCACCTTAATTCTCACTGATTGCAGGAATGGTAGTTTCCCTAAATAGGGGAAACGCAAGATAGACCCAAAAATACGATAGTCCTTATCATTGGAATGCCCAAAAAGGGTACCCCCAATTTTGGGAAACTACCAAATACCGGGCATGGTCCTTGCAACCTTCTGTGCAGCAGCGCCCGCAAGCCTGAAGGCGGGGACTTCAATGTGGTGAAATCGAGGTATCCGCGCAACTTGAGCTATAGTCTAAACTCCTTAAAGGGGGCTTATATAGGGGATTATTTTGGGGATTTTTGGCGCGTATTGTAGGGATTATGACAGGGGATACTAGGAGTTTTGACTATGGCTCACTTAGGCCCAAAGTAGGCCCACGCGCGCAGTCCGATGCCAGGAGGCGCGTGGCATTGCACCATCGCAGACTCCAGAGAGGGAACGATGCGGGAAACAACCTTTTGTAATGTTGGTCTGTTTTCTAGCTTAATGCCTTAGAATCCTTCGTGCAGACAGACTAATCCCTTCTCCAGCGCTTTTTTGAAATAGTTGAAGCGAGAAGGCAGAAAAAAAGCTTTATGCTAACAGTATTCATACAACTGGAAACTTGTCAGTTGACCATAAATGAGAGGAACCATGCTAAACCCTGAACCCTAAACCCTGAAACCTAAATCCAATAGTAACCCAGACCCCCGATTAATAAACCCCCTCCCCTTAATAGGGGTTATGGTAGGAATCCTAATATTAAGGCCCTTAAAAGGAAGGGGTTCATTAATCATGGGTCTGCATTAAACCCTAAACCCTAAATTTGTGTGTCCCTTTTCTTTTCCATTATCCCTATATAACCCTATAATCCCAAGTCCCTATACTAGTCCCTATATAACCCAT